TTTCACCGAACCATGAAAGTAATTCGAGTTTCTATTGCTACTTCTTAACCAATTTTGTCTACTCTTTTGTTTCCAGAAAGCCTCTTTCTCTCTATAGGCTTTAGCAAGATCCTTGTTCAGCTTAGACACCCTTTGAAACCCAGGCCACACCAAGGACTGTTCTTTTTCTAGGGCAGCCTCCAAGAGATGTATTTTATCCAAAGAATTCAACGTGTTCTGTTTTTTCCAGGAGCTTAGAGCTTTTCTACAATCTCTCAACCTATCAGCCACTAACAAATTAAAACCAGAACCACCTCTACTCCACGTTCTCGAGATAGCCTCTTTAACATCTTCCTTGAACAGAAAACATTTATCAAATCGAAATTGCCCTCTGTAAGAGTCATGGGAAGCCAACAACTTGATGAAAACCGGTCTGTGATCTGACTCCCGCAGGTCCAAAAAAGTTTGATTAGAAACTGGGAAAAAATCAAACCAATCCTTGTTTCCAAAAGCATGTCTAGCCTACATTGAATCCAGTGGTCCCCTCGTCTTCCAGCCCAAGTAAATTTGTTACCATGAGAAGGTAACTCAGACATGCCACAAGCTCTAATCAAATCATTGAAGGATTTACAATCATTGTCACTTCTTCTAGGACCACCGTTCTTTTCGCCATTATGTAAGATATCGTTGAAATCTCCAAACATACACCATCTATCTCTTCTTCCCACTCCAATCCTTGTAATTCTTTCCCAAACTCCACTTCTTTTACTCTTATCCGGATCACCATAAACACAAGAAATAAAAAAGTTGACTACTCCAAACTGTACTTGAGCATCCAACAGATTCTTATCTACAAACTTAATGTCAAGCTTGACACTGGTCTTCCAAAACAAAGCTAGTCCTCCACACTTTCCTACGGGCTCCACAGTAAAAACTTTTACTTCATCATACCCCAACCAGCTTTACATATCAACTAAATCATCTTTTCTATGCATCGTTTCCATCAAGAACAATATCTCTGGGAAGTGTTTTTTACGTAATTCCTTAAGACGAGGAATTATCAAGTCTTGAGACCATCCCAAACCTTGACAATTCCAACTGATGATGCTCATTGATGGTTAGGCAATCCCCCCTTTGGGATCACCTCATGAGGGTTAAGCTTGATGGTTTTTACAGTGCTTGTACCCACGTCAACTGCTTTCCTTTTTTCTTTGAAACCCTTTTGAAGACCACCGATGAGCTCCACCGGAATAGACCGCTGATTTGGCGAGAAAGGTTTTAGCTTTCTGTTACTTTTTGAAGGTCTTTTCCTAGATTTTGCTTTAGACTTATCCAGAACATTGCCGGAGGAACTTGCTGCAAAGGAACTAGGTCCATAAACCATCGCATTGTTCTGGTAAGGCTGCGACAAGGCAAGAAAGCTATCCGAACCCACAGCAGAACAAGAAGAATCATCATTGGATAACCACAATCTGTCAGACTCCCCTTTGGATGAGGACGCATGAAAGAGAGGAGCACCTGATGCTTCACTAATGTGATTTCCAACAGAAGGGACCATCTCATAATTGAAAACAACACCTTTGTCTTTAGATAAATCTTGATGGAAGATTGGTAAAGGTTCCAATCTGAGAATGGTCTTTTGAGAGAAAGGATATTTTTCTACTTCACCAACAGAGACCTTAACTTTATCAATTCTTAGTAGCTTTTCCTCTTCACTGGAGACTCTAAGATACTGACACATACCTTCTAGAACCTCAGGCGCAATTCTAGGTCTTCCTATCGCAGGATCAATCCCCACCTGATTTTCATTCAACACACCAAACAGAGGGTCTGATGACTTTAAAACTGGACTAGGTTTTGGTCTTGGAATTGGAGTACCTGCTCTCCTTGCATATGTAGCCTCTTTCCTTTTCTTTATTAATAGAGGGTAGGACTCCTTCTCGTGAGTCATCCTCTGACATTCATAACACCTTTTTTGAACTCTTTTGTATTCAAAGTGGACTGTGGTTGTACCTCCTTTTGGCAGATTCACTAACTTTGTTCTTCTAAGAGGCCGAAAAATATCGAAGATGATCTTTACTCTAACGAAATCCTGCAGCTGCGGCTTTGTAGTATCAAAAGCTACCTCCTCTACTTGGCTAATCTAATCTCCCAGAAGAGTGAGAGCTTTTTCAGTGTAGAAATTAATTGGCAAGTTCCAGAATTGGATCCACATAGGAGTGAACTGAAGGTAGTTGTCTGGTGGAAATTCATACCAACGATCCACCACAATAGTCCATTCGTTGAAGGTGTGAACTGGAAGCGTTCCTTTGAAAGAGCAGCCCCTCTACACCTTCCAATCTTCTGCCATTTTCGAGGCATGGTCCGAATCAGATGATCCATCGGTTGACAGTCCGGATTAAGAGTCCGACCAACGAGACTCAAGGCATTTCTTTCACAAGACGAATACTCCGGTAAGTTTGGCATGTCGAAGGGAACATCATCTACCTCGAGAGACATAGCCATCATTGCTTTATCCATAGCAGAAGACATGACTTTGCAAAGAAAAATTTATGGATCTGAGAAACCGAAAAAACGTGCCGACCAAATCAAAACCCACTCGTGACGGAACCGAACCCAATCAGAGACAGAGCAAGTCGCAACCACCACAAACTTACAATCCGAACCCAAACGCAGCTTAAACACGAGAGGAACCACAACGAAACTGGAAACACTGGATCTGAGAGACTGAAGGCGAGCCGACAAAACACAAAGACCTATCAGTGATGAAACCCGACAGCCACCGGAGAACCACGAAAACACTGGCACCACAAATTTCAAGCTAAAACAGCACGAATCTTGCAAAACGATAGAATCCAAAGAAGAACCCTAGTAGCTTTGAAGTTAATTGATAGAAAAAGGACACAATAAAGCGATAACATGGTGAAATCGACTAAAGGGAGAGTGTTTTACTCCGGTCAAATTTCTCTTCTAACACTAGTCAAAGACACTAATTTAGAAAGAGGATCTTAAGAGAAAAAAGCATCGTGCTACTGTGGAATATTCCCATCTTTACTTTTCATTATTTTTTATTTTTTTTATTATTAAGAGTTCTGCTAAGAAACGTCCGTTAAGGATGCTCTTAGTCTTCGTATTTGCATTCTCACACATCCTTGTCTCTTATCTTCACAAGTCCAGAGGCGGAACTAAAAGAATGCGGACGTAGGCATGTGTCCTATGCTAAATTAATAAGTTCCTCGTTGTAACACATACTTGTCTTTTTGATTCTTTTTTATTGTTTGTTGATTTTTTCATGATTGATTACCTTTTCCTCTCACGTTGTTTTAATAATTTAATTTCATTTATTATTTTTTAAATAGTTTATTAAATTAGTTTTTTTTTTTAAAAACATTTTCTTTGTTGGTTATGTTCATTTAATTAGTTTTCAAATTTTTCTTATTTTTGTTTTAATACAATAATTTTTGTATTATGCACAAAAAATATATCTACTATTTCATATAACATTTATATCAAAAAAAATTTGTACCCTAGGTAAAAAATTATTGTTTTAGATCCGCCATTACTCTCAACACTCCGGCTTGTGTGTTGGTTTGAATATTTTTATTTGATTTTCAATCTCTTCCACAATTTGTTCTTCCATATCGTTTCAAGGTGTTGCAGAGAGTACATACTTAAAACTTTCACTATCTTATATTCGGGATTAGTATCTTATACTTAGTACCATAGTAGCATTGCAAGAATAATTATACACACTTAATATATAGCATGAAAATGTGTTAATTATTGTCATTCATATCAAACTCTTTTGTGTAATCCTCGTAATTCTTTTGTGGTTAATCTCGCCTGATCATTTTGAGATTGGTAATCAAAATTTTGAAACTTTCAGACAAGTCAAGTTATCAAAAAAAACACTGCCGTTATAGAAACTAAGCTGCACGGACTAGTCAAGTTCTCAACAAGAACAAAAAAAAGTAGAAAGCAAAGGGCCATTGGCTAAGCTGCACGGACAACAAGATTACTCAAGTTTTGTGAGTTTCTTCTAACATCCATTATATTAATGGTCCGGCCCATTAGCCCATTATCCACAACCGTTTTATAGAAAAACTCCAGTTGGTGGTGTGCATCTTTTTTTTTTGTGTGCATCTTATTTTATGAAACAAAGTTCCAAGCTTTACAGATTTCATCAAAAGGAAACAAAAATGAAAAAAAAAAGCTTGATTGGTTATCGAAGTAAGATCCCGAGAGAGAGAAGCTTTTGTATTTGCATTAGTTGTCATCATCATGATGACCTTTTATACTAAACAATAATGCCTTTCTTCCTCACCAATTCAACACTTTACTTACAGAGGTACTTCAATTTTGTTATTCTCTTCTATATAAATTTCAAATTGTTTTAAAACTGACCCAACTGCTTGATTCGTCTCTGTTATAATATACTAAATCTTTTAAATTTTTCATTTTTGCAAATTGCGTTTTGAATGGATGTACGTATTGGACGCTTCTTTGATTTTCACTGTTTGATTGGGCTAGAAAGTTTTACAATTTAGAATAGAAGTGATGGGTGGCTTTTTTTTCAGCAATTGAATGATATAGTTCTCAAGTTGTTTGCAATACTGCCTCAAAGAAGTAGTCTTTTCGTTACAACAACAACAAAAATTCAGGAATTCTTGTGTAAAAATTACAAAAATGTATAAAAGGTGTTAGTTAATGTTGATAGTGAAATGGAATGATTGAATTTACATGGTCCACTTTGAATATCTCTAATCATTTCTGTGGTTTGAATTTCACTTATATCTAAATCACCAATCACTTCATAACAGCTTGAGATAGAGTATTTATGTCGCTGATACAGTGTTTACCCATATGGGAGAAGAAGAAAAAGCAACACAAACTCTTTTGAGTTTTAAAAGTTTCTCTTTTTATGTATTCTATGCAAAACTACAACATTAGTGGCAATCTAATTCTGAAAATCTCAGTAATGAAGATCGGATCTTACTATAAAACCTATTTAAGTTATTGTTTAATCTTGCTCTCCCTAACAAGCAATATGGCTAGAGAAATGGATTGGAGGAGAAAAGAAAAGAGATTATTGGAATGAAAAAGTAAGAGCAAGTGGGGACACATGAAGGGGCCTTTGTGTTTAACATAAAACCAGGAGAAGCATACATTTCTTGCTTTATCTATCTGTAAGGATGATGATCTCTTATATGATTCTTTCAAAGTGTTTTTACATGTGTGTCAGATCTTTTTTTATTCACCAAACTTTATTCCTCTGCCATTACCATCTGGAATAATAAAAAGCTTATGTAACTCCTACCCAACAATATAACATGCTATACCACATGTACTTTGCAGTTTTCTTGGGATTAGACTTGCAATTTCACTCTACCTTTGTTTAATTCTTGCGTAAGATCTCAGACTTCTTCTCTGTTTTTCTTTCTCTTTCTTTTGGTATCATCTTGAACCATTTTGGCTTTTGCCTTTGATGTTTTGCTGATTCTTTGCCTTAGATTTCACATTGAATTTAATCAGAAGTTGCTCTGATAAGTGTTTTTTTTTTCCCCTATCAGATGCATCTTGAGATTCAGATTTAGTCATCTCTACAGTGATTGATTGTGTTGTTGTTACTCTGTTTTTTTTTTAAGAGCAACCACCATGTCCATGGGTGATGAGAAACAGTGTGAGATGAGGAACGAAATGATGTTATTTGGTTTGCTGATTAGGAGAGTCTTTGATGAGGAAAAGGGTAAGCTTCTTCAGAGGCTTGAGGATGCCACTAGTGAAATTACAGAGTTGAAGAAAGTGAGAAATGATGATGCAAAAGCTAACGAGAAGGTGGTTAGCATAATCGCGTCTCAAAAACAGAATTGGTTAAGGGAGAGGTATGGATTAAGGCTACAGATTGAGGCTCTGATGAAGGAATTAAGGAATATTGAGAAGAGGAAGAGAAAAAGCTTATCGGAGATGCAAGAAAGATTAAAAGAAAAGGAAGGTTTAGTGGAATCTAAAGATAAGGCAGTAGAAGACGAGAAGCGGAAATGCGAAGAGTTGGAGGAAAGACTGGTCAAAGCAGAAAAAGAATTTCAAGATTTAAGGGAAACACAAGAGAGAGATGTGCAAGAACATTCTTCTGAGCTATGGAGGCAAAAGAAGACATTCCTTGAGCTTGCTTCTAGCCAGAGACAACTTGAAGCTGAACTGAGTCGTGCAAATAAGCAAATTGAGGCTAAAGGACATGAACTTGAAGACTTGTCATTAGAAATCAATGAGATGCGGAAAGATTTGGAACAGAAAGATCGAATTTTGGCAGTGATGATGAAAAAGTCAAAACTGGACATGACCGAAAAGCAGATGACATTGCTTAAGGAGGCTAAGAAAAAGCAAGATGAAGAAGAAACAAAGAAATGGAGAACGAATCCAAAATCAAGAAAACACGAAAGACGGTCACTAAGAAGCATGTTTGCTTTTGAAGCCACAAGTAAGCCTAAAAGCAACAGTGTTGGTTCCATTACTCACATTGAACATCTGGAGTCGAATAAAGATCCTGATGTCGTCCCCTACTCTATTGGTGATCTCAGTGACCTAGGTAAGTCCTCAAAAAGCTTGAAGCTTCATTTATAGTTTCTATTTGAAATTATATTGATTCTGAATCTCCATTGTTACATTTTGAAGGTGTCGATGGAATTGCAAAGAAGCGTGAGAATTTGATTTTTGGAGAGGAAGAACTTTGTATTAGAGTGATAGGGAAGAAGCAAGAGATAGAGATAGGGGACTTTACAGAGCATATGAAACTAAAAGATGAAAAGGTTGAAACTCTCTGTTTGCATCTGATGAACTCTGAGTTAGAATCAAAGCGGTTGAGATCTTGTATCGAAGGACTGAGCCAAGAAATGTCACAGTTGAGACACGACAACACAGAGTTGGAAGGCATGGTAAACCGAAGAGGGGAAGAATCGGTTTCCCTGAAGAATCAAGATTTCAAGACTCAGCCAAAAAGCCTGGTGCCCCACAAGAACAATATGAGTTGTAGAAGGAAGAACACAAAAACAGAAGCACTAGGAGAGCAAGAAAGAGAATTCGAATCAAGGGAAGTTTCTCAGGAAAATGCCACCGAGAAAGGAAGGGAATCTTACTCTCCTGATGAATTGAGACATTTGACTTTGAAGGCTGCTCAATCTGATGCTGAAGAAGGGTCTGAAAACGAAAGACACGTACCAGAGAATAAGTGTACCAGAGAAAAAGCAAATGGTAAGGAGAATAAGAAACTTATAAAGTCATCCAGCACAAGCAATCCACCTTGGAGAATGGATCTTCATGCTCTTGGAGTTTCATACAAGATCAAAAGGCTGAAACAACAACTAATGATGCTTGAAAGATATATTGGGAAACCGGAGAGCCAAGAGACTGAAAAAAACATCAGTGATACCGGGAAAAGGGCTTTGTTATTGCTCATTACATTGCTCAACAAACAAGTTACTAGGTATCAATCACTACACGAGAAGATTGATGATTTGTGCAAAAGAATGGTAAGCAATCATTCCCTCATACCAATTACATTACTATCATTGTTAAAATAAACTGATTCTTTTCGGTTAACCATTATGTATAGCATGTGAATGATCCAGAGAAGATTAGCGGAAACATGAGAGCAAATGGGGAAGCCAAAACATCACTAGAGCATTTCTTAGATGAGACATTTCAGCTGCAAAGATACATAGTGGCAACAGGACAAAAACTGATGGAAATCCAATCCAAGATAGCTTCTGGCTTTGTTGAGTTTCTAGTAGACCTAATCACAACTGAATCCTCCTCTTCTAGTAGCAGCTTTGATCCAGAACGTTTTGCAGAAAACATCAAAAGTCTGTTTCAAGAAGTGCAAAGAGGGCTTGAGGTTAGGATATCCCGATGCATAGGTTATCTTGAAGGGACATTAGCTCGTGAGGGAATGATACATTTGAAACGACGGGGCGACATGGAGCTACAAGTATGAGAAGCTACAAAATATGTAAATTCTTTACAATTCCTCTTCAGCACTTAGAGTTTTTGTATATAGATTTTACTTTTATATATATAGGGGCCATTGGTCATATTTAAACTCATGTAATCTTAGTTAATTGTTCAATCAGATTATTGGTTTGGTTTACGTATCGAAATTTAGGTTTTAGTTAGCAGTTTGATTAGAAAATCCCTATAATAATCCTATAAAAGGACCACATGAGTATCATAAAGAGGATGCTAAGGTAAGGATGGGGATTAAATTGGATGTATCTGTTGCTTTTGGAAGTTGATAGTAGAAAAGTAGCTTTTGGAAGTGATAGTAAAAAGCATTTGCATGTGTTTTTGCTTTGCCTCTTTGTGGAAGCTTCAAACATTCAATCTACAATGTTTTGTAGTTGCGTCTTGAGTTATCTCCTCCAATTAAAATATAATGTTATACCAAATGAGGAAAGAGTTTGTTATTTTTATATCATAACACATATTTTTTTTTCTTCTTATTATCCTATAGCTAGTGTTCAAGAAAGCGTTAGGCGCTAAGCGGGCGGTGACCCAGTGCCTAGCGCCTAGAACGTCTAATCGGGACCTAGGCGATTTTTTAGGCGGTTTAGACGTTTATAACATAAAATATTATAAATATGATATTATATATAAAAGTTATATAAAATGTCTATATAAAACTAAAAATTATGAAATTATAAACAAAACTAGATAAAAAATTTATTTATATTTATATTAAACAATATATAAATATGTATAACTATATATATAAATAAAACTCTAATTAAAATTGAAAAAAATACATTAAACAAGATCTATGTAACTTTAGGCGGTCAAGACGGTTATCTAGGCGTCGCATGAGAGCCTAGCGCCTAGTCGGGGCCTAGGCGACCACCTAGACCGCTTTTTAGAACACTGCCTATAGCCTTTATTATATATCTCTATGAATACATATATATATATATATATATATATATATATATGGAAAAAAGAAAAACCATTGTTAGTTAAGTTAAATTAGTATTAAAAACATACATATAAATAATTCATTATATCATATTCATTATAAATTTATGTTATGTTAATATTTTATATTGTTTGTAATATATTTTTAGGATTAGCATAAGATTAGATTTTATGGGGGTTCTTTGTCAAAATATCGATTGTTGCTAGATTTTAAGTAGGTACGAGTAAGCGGGCTCGTCCGCTACAAGCAAATTTAACTCAATTTTTCATTGTGTCGGGTTTTCGGTTCTTCTTGTAGACTTTTGATTGTAGGGTGACGCTCCTATAAGGTAAATAACATGATGATGTTCTTAAGGAAAACAATATATGGTCATGATGGTCTTAGAGAAGAAGAAATGAGGATGACTACTGCTTGGTAAATTTTTGACGATCCAAAATAAGGATTTAGTTTAATTAATTTGGATATAATCTATAAAGGTGATTTGGTTGTTTAGATGAACTTAATAATGTGGTTTCATAGATATGTAGATGAGGTCTTCTTCGGAAGAAATTAGAGGTCTCCAAAGGTAGATAGGGTTGGGTGGATTGGATCTTAACCGTAAATTTTGGTGAAAAATCAACAAAAGAGAAGTGGTACCTGAAGTAAGATCATAGAACATTTTAGTGCATTATTTTAGATCTCTCAGTTATTCTGAATTCTTCAAAAAAAAAAAAAAAAAGGCGAAATGAATTTTAAGAAAATGTTGAAATATTTTCTCCATACATACAAATTTCTAACACTTCACGTTTCGTAAACGCAATCGAATTGCTTTATGATAAAAACTAAAAGGCAGACAAGTGCCAAAAAATAAAAAGGCCTTCGTTATGCCCCCTTTAATTCTTCTTTTATTTCTTAATGAATGGCATAGAATTTTCACATTCTATTAAGTATTATCTTATACTATCAGACTTGAGAGAAGAAAGTAACATTTCACTAATGTCAGTGGTCTCTCAATTCGAATAACCTAACATGTTAAAATCAAAAGCACTCCTCAATTCTCATCTTACCAACGTGACTTACTTTTATTTTTATACTTTTGTGATATTAATTAACTAATTAAAATAAGATTTAACTATAACATATAACACATTTTTTTATATAGCTTTCTATTAAAAAAATTTGACATCTACCAAAAGCTTAAATATATAATCCGTGTGCCGTTTAAAAAAAAAATATATATATATATATAATCCGTGTGCAAATAAAACCTGAAATGCAAAAAAGAAATTCCACTAAACATGAGACTCCTATCATTTTCACTTTAACGGATTCAAATACATATATAGAAATTGTAGGGCTTGTAATCATGACTGTAATGTGTAATCATGATTGTAATATAAATTGGACATGCTTATAATCAAATCCAGATTCATTCTGCATGTGATTGTGATTGTTATAATGAGCAACCAACTAACCATCATAAATTTCCGAGTTAACATCATAAAGTACAAGATGTTAGAAAGAAAAATGGAACTATCAATCTTTTACGTTGGGATTTAGTTAGTGTAAAATTCGTTGTTATTTGTGTTTGCTGATTAATTAGTGTTGAAATTTTATGACTTGAGTATAGAAAAAAATTCAAAACTTGCGGTGTACGTGGAATTTGGAAGATATTTCCACACGGTTAAAAAAAAAAAAAAAAAATTATTGTTTCGTTTCTTTTCTTGTTGTTGTTTGACTTTGACCTAAATCCTAATTAATGAATCATTATAACCAAAGTAAGTTATCTAATTGCAATATATTCAAACAAATATACATGTATTTTCAACATGTTACATATATAGAGATAAACTATACTTTATATACAACAAACAAAATATCTAAATAATGCATGAAAGATGAAAAAAAAAAAGAGAAGGCGAATTCTCCTAATCTTCGCATTTCGTTTCTACACAAAAGTCGCCGCAACATAACTGATGCCACGACAAAGAGAGCTCGAGAGGATAGAGAGAGCACAACAGAAAGAGCTGCCTTTGACTTTTTCAAACCCTAAAACCAAATTGACCGTTTGTCCATCATCAACACGTCCTCCCTCAACGTCCATCGTGATTACCTTTATTATTTCTTACCAACAATATTTTCTGTCTTTCTTTTTACAAAAACACTAATTCTATATTATCCTACAAGAATTACACTGCCTAAAACTAACTAACAATGAAATTTTCTCACATGTAACGTTTCATATACTCTAGTTTACGTACAAAAATAAATGAAATTGGCATAACTAATTTATTAGATATTTATTGGATTTTTGATAGTGAAGGTACTTAAATTAACAAGTCGTTTTCAATAATAAACAAACAAAATGCCATATCTCGTGAACAAGAAGCACAAAAGAAGAGCGTTTCATTTATTTTAATTAATTCAAAAATTCAATTCATTTTCATTTATTAATTATCTTTTCTTCTCCATCATGTCTTCTCTAACCTCTCTCCCACTATTCATCGTCCTTAACTTTTCCTTTTTCTCATTCAAATGAATCCAATTCCACTAAAGGTTTCTTTTTTCTCCTATTTAACCCAAACCCATTTCTTATAACGTCAAAAACATTATTGGGTTCTCATAAATTCATCTCCAAGAAAACAAAAAAATGGTTTTTGTCAACGATCAAGATCGGTTCTGTTCCACGTCTAAACTTCCTCTGTTTTCATATCCAATGAATAACAGAGTATATGAAACAACTCCGGGATTAGCTACACCTCCGGTTAATATCGCAGGATCTGTACCTTTTCTTTGGGAAGAAGCTCCGGGAAAGCCTCGTCGTGTTAAAAAATCGGCGAGGTCAAATCAGAACGGTGTTGTGAGATGTCTTGAGCTTCCTCCGAGGTTACTTTTGCCCGGAGAATCTACGACGGTGAATGAGCCTTCTCCGACTACTGTTCTTGATGGTCCTTATGATTTACGTCGTCGTTCACTGTCGCTTCCGAGATCGGCTGCTGTCATTAGGAAGTTGAGAGGAGTTCCGGCGCCGGCTCCGGAGAAAGAACAGAGATTGCTTGGTGGGTCTAGTAGATGGGGAAGTTTTCGGAAATGTAAAGAGGTGTCTGAGGGTATATTTGACTTTTCACGTTTTAGAGATGACGGTTTTGATTGCCGGAGGGATTGGACCGGAGGAGGAGGAGTTGGTAACGTCGCCGGAGACGGCGGGACAAAAGTGAAACTTTATAGAATTATAAAGAAAGGAAGCTTTTTTAATCTCTCTCATACAACAAAGTCAGATCTCTGGGTAAGTTTTTATCAAAAAGTTTCTTACTTTTTCCCAAAATTCTTAACCACTTTTTAATTTCTGATTCAACTTGAGGATTAAGTAATAATCACATTTTCTTGTATTTTTCCAGATTATGAAATTCAACTTTTCACTGGAATGTTAATTTTTTGCAACAACAAAAATAAAAATTCATTGTCAAAATTTTTTATAAGTGATTAAAATATATGTATAATATACCTTTTTTGGGTGTGTGAGGGAAGTAATAGTGTAACCCAAATTATTCCATATTTAAAAATGCAGGCAAGGGTTTACGAAGGGTTTAAACAAGTGATTCCATGGAAGCGTAAGCAAGAGAATCTGGAAAGAACAAACTCTTCCATTGTTTAACTTCGAATCTCTTTAATTCTATAGTTTGATATACTAATTATTAGTCTTCTCTTGTGTATACTTTATTTATACAATCTGTCAAGGAAACATTTTATATTACAATTTACAATGACAATTAGAAATTTCATGCTTGCACAGAAAAAAAATCGTTTTTTTTATTTTATCTTTGCGTTTCATTTTTATAAGTTGCTACTAGTATTGTTGTTGATACACGGATTTTAAGTAAAAAAATGCAGAGATAATTTGAAAATGATCAGAGTAATAATATGAACATGAAAATCAGCCAAACATTATCACTGATGTGAAAAGAGTAACAAAAATGAAACATGGTTTTTATAATATCTTTGTCTATATTTGACTTCGCTAGTTTGTGTAAATTTTGTCAAAGTTGTTAAAAATTTGGCAGTTCAATTATAGAGCACAGGCTTCATTACCATCATTACATTAATGCGTTTGTGAATTTCAAATTTATGCAAATTTAGAATTTTATTCAACTCATCATACTAATTTCATTCATCCAAAATAATTGATAAACAAATTCAATGAGGAAAACCTAAAAAAACATTCCCTAGATAATCTAGATTGACCAATTGGGTCAATGAGATTAAAAAAAAACATTATTCTAAGAGAAACTAAAATAGATTTGTAGAAATACTAAGAAAATCAATAATAATCATCACCAAGTGACTTTCTTCTCTTATAATTGGCTTTGAAACAAGCTTGCCTTAGCTTCTTTGTTCCATCACTAAGCTCAGCATCCGGTTCTTGCTCTATAAGAACCCTATGTTCCTCCAAATTCTTCACTTCTTCTTCCATTCCAACACTCTATCACCAGAAAAACATGTTAAACCTATTAACCTCTCATAATAAAATAAAAACGTATTGAACCCTAAAACGCAATTGAATCATAAGCAAACGCTAATAAATAATTAATGATGTTGGACCTTGAGATTCTTGATGAGAGAGTTCAGACTCTTGAGCTTCCGGTGAGGCCACCGGTAAATTCCTAATTCCCTGCATCGCTTCTTCAACACGGTGAGTCCCACGTTCAGTTCTTTAGCCGCTCTCATTATTGGCCTATCGAAAAATTGTTTGATCTCAGACATCTCCAATTTGTCTTGCCTCTTTTTCTTAAGGTTTCTCTTCTTCTTCACTGTTCTCTTTTCAACTCTCTCGTCAGAACTGAGGCAGTCGTTTTGGATAGCCAATGGTGAAGAGGAGCCACTTGAGAAGTAGGGTTCTTGAGTCAACAAATGAACATCAGATGGAATTGTGATATCCACTTCGATGTTTTCGAAGAAATCGTCAAAGCTATTGTACTGAAACTGAAAATGCAACCCCGCATTTGGTTTCAGATCTTCTGTGTCTAGGAGAGTCTCGAGTGGAGGTAACCTGTAAACCAAAAACGATCAAGAAAAAATAGTAAAGAAAAGAGAGATGACTTCTTTAGCAAGAAAACGAATCAAGGGTTTTCAACATACTTTTCGAGCATGTCGTACAACGAATCTGGTTCATACTGGTTTTCGATTTTCGGAGAATCGAGTTGATGAAGAGAGTTATGATCCATTTGTTGAAGAATCAGTGATAGAAACAGAGCAGAATAGTTAAAAACAGAGGAATGTTTTGACGAACTCATATATAGTCTCTGTAAAAAACGATGAAGGTTCATAGGGATTGCAATGTAATGGGAGTTACGAGTCCCAAAGCGTATAATCATTAACTGTTAGTCTTAATTAATTACCGTGTGACTTTAATTAAGTATATGATCATGGGGGCTGAATTTTGGGTTAGTTGCTTCTTTAGTCTACTTCCTCTAGTCAAAGTCAATGCATGAAAGTTGATAAGATCATATTGCTAAAAATTCACAATCGATATTAAATGAATGGAGTTTTTGTGTGTTATCGCATTAGATGATGTATGTGTTATGTTACGATGATAGATACATTTGATGTGGAAAGATGATTAAGAGAATAAGAGTTAATGAGAGTCTCCACTCTCTACTAATGATAATTTACTTAGTAAATGAAACAAAACAAAAAAAGTAGTCAAATTAAAAGCTTTAAATGTAATCATCTCTTTTTTTCACTTCTCAAATCCAGTTCACAAATACATTGTTTGAATAAATCTGTGAAAACCCCAAGATTTGAGCTCGAAGAAACACCAAAACACTCTGTAATTTTGAGTTCTTGAAGAGTAATGAGAAAGAATCAAGCTTTTTTTTCTTCACATTGGTGTTTTACTTTTGCCCAAATTCTTGAATTGTTCTTGTGGCTAGCGTAAGTACGTCTACAAACGCAGAGAACGAAGCGCGAAGAAGCCTTGCCTCTATTGCTTCAAAATGCCTGTAAAATTATCCAATAGAGAAAAGATGAAAACCAGTAAAGAAGTAGGCGAAGTAGAAGACTCGATGGACCCGAAAAAATGTCTAACTAAAACGAGTCGTAAATCGATTAAGCGATTTAACAACCAAATAAGGCGAAGAAGGACTTGAAGAAACTCACACAGAAAGCTTGTTGTTTGATACTGACATAACTCTTCTCACCTTATCAGGCTGCAACTGCATTAGTGGTCACAACAGAAGAAATTCTAACATCAGTGAAATTGGCAAAAACTTGTTTATTCATATGTTGGAAGAGAATTGAGAAATTTTAAACCTCTTTATCAACAGCCAATGATGTGTAAGCAACCAAAGCATGTTCTTCCGATTCAAAATTCACATCCAAATTACTGCAGATTGCCAAAAGCTCTGTTACATCAAATCCCTAACAAGTCCCAATGAAAAGATACCAAATCTATTCAAACCTATAACAGTCTAATCCTCAATATTGTTGTGCAACCCTAAGCCAAGCCTAAAAAGCAAGTTTAGAAGTTCAAATTAACCTAATTGACCAGAGCAATGAAACCAACTAGGTCGTATTTCTGGTTTATGTGGGTAAAGATCGAAACTTTTGAATCTATTCCTTCAAATGTATCAGACCCAAGATTTCTCTACTCGACTCCGTATGTTCTAACATCAGATACAGAACAAACACGTTACGAACTGCCGGAAACTAAAAGCTGAATCACTAGAGAGAAGAATTTAAAATCTCCCAAATCAGATAACTAAAGTAAGAGAAATTACAGAACACACCAACTAAAATCCCAAGTTTGGTCAGAACGAGTAGTTGCAGGAACAGTCGCAGCCATTTTTGCTCCTTCCTTTCTTCCTTCGTCAATGGAGGTTTTGGCAAAACCTTAACTAAACACAGAAGCAGGTTTTGAATGGGCTACTAAACGGGCCTCATATTTTGAAGCCCAAAACATTTCATACCGAGAGGAATTGACGAGAATACCCTTTTCCGTAAACAAAGGTATATTCGAAAAGTATATCTCGCATGAAGGAATATTTTGAGGACAAACTAAAATCTCGTCTACTCATTTCGCTATCTCTTCTCTATCTCTGGTTCTGCATATTAGACAATTCAGCTACGTAACATCATTCACCAAAGAAAAGCTTCAAGCTTTGGTTTCAGACAGAAGCAGTACCAGGCATGTCCTCTTCTCATCTCTGTGTTTCTTTCAGAATTAGCTCGCTTGTTCATGATCTTGTAATGAATATCTTTGATGAATTAAAAACATGTTGAAAGATTCATGGAACCTGGAATGTTTTTTTTTCTAAGTTGTATAGGACTTGTAATTCTTCTTTTGGCGCAGACACTTAAGAAAACAGTTATGTTCTATAGGTACACGAAAACATACAAGTCTATATTGAGATTTCGATGTATTATCTTTACATATTACATTCGTAGAACAAATGTTGGTCATGGATCCTCTACACGTGTATATATATCAACAGGTTGTATAATCTCTTCCATGTGAAAGCTCTGTCTTCTTCTCTTAGCTTCTGTTTGCAGCAAACTTATCTTTAAGCTCTTATGTTTCATCAGCTTGATCATTGAAGAAATGTCTCATTGCTTGTATGAATATATCTGTCGAAAGACGTTTCAGATTGTGATAAGTCTAGTTGCTAATGTTCTAACTTTGATATAATTAAGCAGTGAGGAGCTTACTTGGTCGACAAATTGAAATGTGAAGGGTTGTTGTTATGTAAGACAAGGTCCAACTTTGACGGGTTTTACAGCCCTGAAAGCTCTTCTTGAATACTCAAATGCCAAAACCAGAAGTCCGAAGAGGAAAAGTAGAAAGCGATGGAACTTTTCCGCTATAAAATGTGCGGGAGAGACGGCATTCTTGCCTTCTGATGAGCTTGTAATCAATGCTAGTCTCCTCTTGAGATAACCTAACAATTCGAAGAGCAAGCAAATAATGGAATGTTGATGTTAGTCTCAGAACAACTTTCGAAGAAGAAGAATGGTCTAAAAGGATGGAAATTCTGTATTTCTATACCGGGTGTTTCCATGGTGAGGTTAGTCCAATCAGTTGGTCTTTTCTTCATTTCTGACGCCTTGATTAACTCGAGAAGAGCTTTATTAACCTGAAATTGACCAGAAGGTATGTTAATGCCTTTTTCCAGGTTCCGAGATTACAGAGATACCAACAAGAGTAAGGACAATGTGTTCCCTCTTCCACAAAGTAGCAATGCTATTCCTAAAAGACCTCAGAGCCTGTAAGTCTTTATTAATAGTTTGCTATCATGACTAACAATGAGGTTTAAGTAACGGTATGATTGCTTACAATGTTCGATCAGTTGCTACAGCCGTCAAGTTTTTCTAAATAGGTTGCCTTTAAAATCTTTCTCCATATATGATTGAATCAGTTCATCAAATTCATAGTCAATATCTTGTTATTTTCAGAATAGTCTCATTCTATTTGGGTCTTATATTTTTCCTGCTAAGTTAAGGTAATCTGAGTATGACATTCATTAACATTTACTGCAGACTGGATGAGATTAGGGAGCGACAAAGACTTAAGATATTAGGGCTTATATACATCAGACGCAAGAGAGACAGAGAAGTTAAGACATAGCTAAATAAAACAAAAGTACCTCTTCTGTCCTCTCATGGCTTACAAGATGACCTCCATGAAGATCTACCATTCTAGCGACGGGATATAGCCTCTGTGCCAGTCTTCTTGCGTAACATATCTGAGCAATCACATCATGTCTGCATATAACCCAACACATTCTCAAATTAACTACTGTGTAAAGGTAAAGATGCTTTACAAGATCAACAAACTCAAGTCTGAGTGCATGAGGAGGTGACTTTGATTCTAATTGTGTCGGTGTTGCATACCTTCCATGAATGACTGAGACAAGAAATCCAGCCGAGCGGATTACTTCGATCTCTGGTTTTGTGATTTTGTGTAACCAACAAGCGTTAATTTGGCCATCAAACCCGTACTTGGACTGCATTCCAGTTTCTGATATTCCTTTCACATATTGCTGCATTGCATCACTCAAATATAAGTTACCTTAACTCGTTCACTAGTGATATGATTATATGTCAGTTTCTTCACATAAAAAACCAGTAAACCCACCTGATATAAAATTGCCCGTCTTGTGTTAGTTCCTACAGATTCTTCTAAGTAATCCTGCATATATAAACAGCATGTGAACAAAATCACTCACAAGTTTCCTCTGGACAGTAGTACGTCAGTCTTAGATTTTGTTACCAAATTACTCTACTAACATAATTCTTCAAGACCAACGATTTGATCTCTCAACCAATTCTAAATAACATAAATCTTCAAGACCAATGACTTGATCTCTCTACCAACTCAATCATCTGATCGCTTGTTCCAACCGAATAGAGAATACAGCACCAAACTTTGCAATATAGAACGAAAGTTGCAAATGAAACACATATTCAACAAACGCATGCCATATTTCAAACTCTAGTCATTGCTCTATTAACAATTGTATTAAGTCAAATTTTGTTCATAGTATTTCAGTACATCGAAGAACACACTGAAAGTCCCCACCTTTGAATAATGTGTGTCCAAATCAACAGCTGCCCTTTGTTCAGGGGTCTTTGCCTTCAGAAAACGTATCGCAATGGAAAGCGATTGCCGGTCAAGCTAAATCACATAAAAACAAAAGGCCAGCGTCAGATATTTTGTATCCAAGTGAAACATCATCTTGTGACAAATCGTGACAAATAAGAAAACTATAACTTGTCTTCATATAAGAAACCAACAGATTCACACGTATGAACAATTCATTGCTATCAAACAAAGATGATCCCACACAGCGCCACGTATATCATTCAAGTACCTTGGGGAAACATTCGAACCCTCCACCTGTAACGTTAAGCAACGCCAACGAAAGAACCCGTTCGGGCACCATTGCAGCTAACTTGCAAGCTATCATAGCTCCTGTTAATCAAAAAGCCGAGAGAACAACAATAAGACTTCATAAAGAACCTATGGAATAGAACCATAATTTGTCTACAAAACACAATCATCAATAGTCACTTGAATGATCATTAAAAGTTACCCATAGAATGGCCAATTATGTGAGCTCTCTTCCAACCCAAATGATCCAACAAACTAATTGAATCATTTGCCATTATCGTTGTTCTGAGCCAAAACAAAACCCAAACTGAGTGAAGCTAACAAAACCAATTTCACAGGCAATTGTTAAAACCGAGATTAAAAACACAAAGCAGAGAATTTTAAGTTCTTCAGTAATGAAATTGGAGACAATAGAAAGAGAGACTCACGTGTACTCGGATTTGTGGGTAGGCACAGAGCTCCGACCCATACCACGATTATCGAAAGCGCAAACCTCGATACCAGAACCATCGGAAACAATTCCTCCGTCGTCTTCATCGTCGTCGTTGGGTTTATCCGTCCCCGTCAATCCCATGATTTGAGGACCCCAGGACTCATGGGTTCCTGCTAAACCTGAACAGAACGACAAAAACCCAATTGAAATCAAGCTCGGACTCGCTAAGGAGATCAATCAAAAGAAGGAGATTACAGACCTATGATGAGAAGAGCTTTGATAGGACCATGACCGTAGGTTCTGTAGAAGATTTTGATTGCGGCATTGTTAAGAGTCGTCTCTGGGCCGACGTCTTCTTTCACGACCTCGCAAAACGGCATCGTTTCTCTCTGAAATTTTCAATGATATCTTCCTCTGAATCAGATTCAGCAACCGGAAAATGAAGAGGAGGAGACGAGAAAGGAAGGACTTTTCTCTATTGAGGAAAAGGAAGAGATTGGACGGCGATGGATTTGGGTTTTGTGGTGGTTCGGTTCGGTTTTTTTGGGTGGAGGTTATGACTGCCACGTAGGATTGGTCGGCTGGATTTTATTGGCGGGTAATATCTAACAAAGGTCAACGGTCAAATTTTTACACGAGAAAAGTTGTTATTATTATTATTATATTTGTATAGAAAAATAGCATGTGAAAAGTAACACTAGAAGTATTACTACGTCAATGGAATTCATTCATACATTATATAACAAACACCACCATACAAAGTGGAGCATTGACCTACCTAAGCGATAGCAACTAGACCATTTGTTGAAGTAGTCACTATTAATCTCCGGTTCAATTTGTTTTTTTTTTTTTCTTTAGTAAGGAACATTTCAAATCCATCCATCATTTTTTAATTCTGGATATCCATTTTATCCAGATATCTAAATTAATAACAACAAAGAAGAAGAAAAAAAAAAACCCAAATTTTAGTTATAAGAAAAGACCATAATTAACTTTGAAATTTGTTGAAACATATATTACCAGAAATTTCTATGTTTAATCAGAGTTACTTTTTTCTTGGGTAGAAGACGGGGACGAATCCCCCATTTTATTCAAGAAAAAAGAAAAAATTACAATCGAACTTGTCTCGGGCATATAGACCCAATAAAATCATCACTTAGAATCGACGCCACAACCGGGGTTACTAATAATTAGGATCCTTCCCTAAGATTTGCCTATAAGACAGAAAAGAGTATACGGTACCTTTTGAAAAGTTAAAATTTAGTGATAAATATGGAAGAAATTTGAGGGAAGGTGGAGATGTATTCAGGTGTATTACCAAAGGTTATGAAACGAATCGAAGGCATAGTGGTCTAGTCCACCCAAATCTTCATAGTACTCTTTAGTTGGAATTTTCAAAGTTGTGTATAAAGTTTTAAGGATGGTTGGGATATGAACGGAACACATAAAGAAAGATTTGAGTTAAGTATATACGTCTCAATCCGAGAAGAGTACTTTACGATTACGTTTCTTTATGAAAAGGAGAATTTGCTTGATTTGTGTATAAGATATAAGATCAATTGTGTATTTGTGTGGTAAATCTAGTGTGTATTTAGACATCCGGTGATACAATTGAACTCCAGAGTGAGAAAACTTAATGATAATCCGGTGGTTTTCAATGACAATGATAATATATAATGTTAAACAAAAAACTTGGTGGTTCGATGAGACTACAAGAACGCCTCTACCAGAATATCTAATGTAGGTTCATTATTTTTTTAAAAATTGTAGGAGAGAGATGAATAGAGAAAGAGTCCCGTGACCACACCCTTTTCACTTGTAGATTCACTTCACCCATTTGGTTCAAGTTAAGTCATGGCGCATCACTCAACATCAACATGTCTCATCGTTTTGTGACTACTCTCGACGATTTCATGAACATCTTTTAGTCGTACGCATCAATTCCTCTTGAGGTATGTGTTTCAACTACTTTATTTGGCGAGAGCGAGATCGAAGACGTGGAGAGCAACCAATCTCCACGGCTTCTTTAGTTAAAGCCATTGACAGTACGGTTCGAAGTCGTTGCTCGATGGAAAATTTCAAGATGCTTTACGGGAATGATTTGCAACAAGGGATCACTAACCCTCTTAGTCTATGTTTTGATTATGTTAGCCGCTCTGTTTTGATTCATTAAGTTTCAGTTTTTTTTTTTTTATAAAAAGATACATTTAATATAAGCGTCGTTGTTTTATGAATAAAATTTTACATTCATACCAAAAAAAAAAAAGGTTTTTATTTAAAAATCTCTTGTCTCTAATTGGAAGACTCATTTAACATGTATTTTTCTATAAGTGGTTCATTCTTTTGGTCTTCTTTAAAATTTAAATAAATAATTACATCATACTAAAATAATATATTTGAGAGATTTGTGAGTTTTTCACCTATAGCGATAGGAATACTTAAGCTCTTTCAATCATGTAAAGACATGTTGCCATACAATTTTTTTTTTTTTTTCATGTTAATCATTTGGAAGGTTTTACATTTTACTATTTTAACTCTGCTCCGCCCGTGAAAGCTCAATAGCTCATCATCAACTTAAGCTTGACGATTATTTTTTGTTGTTATTGCTTGCTTTTGTGAACTGATCCCTTAAGTGCAATGAGAGTTTCGTTTCTGTATTTTTAAACTCTAGTGCGACTCTTCCCTAATTTTGGTTAATATCAGTGATCTATATTTCTCAGAAAAAAGTAGAAAAAAATATATATCAAATTACTGAAAAAGGATAGTAATCGTTTTTGTCCTTACGGATAGTGATCAAAATGGTATTTAACGAGTCAATACTTAGAAGCACCAAATGATTTTTACCATATGCTATCATTTTAACACTAAACCAATTAAAAGGGAAGATTTTTTTTTTTCAAAAGCATTTTTAGTATGTATTTAATTACATGATACACGCGATTACCAAATAGTTAAAATAACTAAATTAAGAAAGAAAAAAAACACAAATTTTTTTCAAAATAATTAAAGTTTTTTTTTAGGGTTTTGTGCAAAAAAAGACCTTCAACCCGCCAATTTTTGTAACGTTACCTTTCACTTCAAAAAAATAAAGATTAATCCTACGAAGTCAAAAAAAATACGCAATATAACTCTTATACGTATATTGCAAAAGTTTTTACGTCCATATACATTAGATTTTTAAAATTCTAAAAGTAGAGTTGAACTTCTCATCGCGAGGACTTCAGTTTAACATATTATTCATCAAAATTTTACCAATTGACGATAGCAAAAAAAAATTACGTATTATTCATAATTTCACTTTTTTTTTATTTGCCTTCACGAAACATCGTTTATTTAATACTTAACATAATTTAATTCTCATTCACAACACGGAACATCATCTAATTTGTTAAGAAAAATATGTATACATTTTTAGTATCTCTACTAATACGTTATGTAAGGACCAAAATTCATCTTGACTGTGCTAATAACTTTATGAAAAACTGATGACGATTCATAGTCTAGTAATTTATTTAGCTTAATATGAGTTTTTATGAAGATGAAGCATCCCTAAATTTACCAAGAGTCTAAAACGACAACGTTTGCTAATATTGTAGTTACTTAGTTAGCGTACACCACTAACAACACCCTTTGCACGGTCTCTCTCTCTACTCTCAGACTTCAAAACTTGTTTCTTTTGGATTCTCAAGAACCCTCAAAAAAACAAAAAGCTGGTTTTTTTGCATTGCACCGATTCACCTCCATCGATTTTGGATATTTTCGAATTCACCCTCCAAGATTTCCCTTGAAATTGACTGGAAAGTTTCTTCCTTTTTCGATTTCCGGTAAAAAGGAAAGTAATTGGGCACTGTAGACTTCCTTCTAGGGTCTTTGTGAACTTTCTAATCCTTTAGAAAAACCCTCGAATTCGAAAATTTTGCGGCGAGATTGATAAATGACTAGTTAAGATTGAACTTTGATTTCTGGGTTTGCGATGGAGAGATCTAGATCGAAGAGAAACTACCACTATGACCAAGACTATGATGGAGATTCTATGCCCAGGTCTAAACCTCGCTACAACAATAATTACCACTTTGGTGGCGGCGGCGGAGGAGGAAATAACAGATACCGTGGCGGCGGTGGTGGTGGTGGTGGAAATGGCCGGCCATCAAAGTCTCACCCTGAAACGATGGCAACGACGACTTATCGAATCCTCTGTCATGACGCTAAAGCAGGAGGCGTCATTGGTAAATCCGGAACAATCATCAAATCGATTAGGCAGCACACCGGCGCGTGGATTAACGTGCATGAGCTAGTTCCTGGAGACGTAGAGCGTATCATTGAGATTTCTGACAATCGTAGGCGTGACCCTGATGGGAGAATGCCGTCTTTCTCTCCTGCTCAGGAGGCTTTGTTTAATGTTCATGACAGGATTTTGGAGAGTGAACCTCAGTTTGGGTATGGTGGAGCTCAGCCGGAAGAGGAGGAGGATTACGGTGGAGTTAGACCTGGTGGAGGGAGAGTTGTGACGAGATTAGTGGTTTCTAGGATGCATGTTGGTTGTTTGTTGGGTAAAGGTGGGAAGATTATTGAGCAGATGAGGATTGAAACTAAGACTCATATTCGGATTTTGCCGAGAGAAAGTAACTTACCTCGTTGTGTTTCACTCTCTGAAGAGATTGTTCAGGTCTGAAACATTGCTATTTTGAGAAACTGAACTTGTTGCTATTTTGCTTGAGAACATATATGAAATGATTAATCTTGTTAAGATTTTGATATGAAATGTAGTCAGTTTATTGAAATGCTAGATCATTTAAAAGTGTGATTGTGAGGTTGAGGTAGTTGACTAGAGTCGAATCACTCTTATGTAGTTAACTTGGTCATTGTTTGTTATGTTAAGCTTTCTTTGGTTTTTGCTTACCTATGGGAAATGCATTTATGATGTTGGTTCTTTCAGATTGTAGGTGAACTTAGTGCAGTGAAAAACGCTTTACTCATTGTATCATCGCGTCTAAGGGAGAGTCAACATCGTGATCGGAGTAATTTCCAAGGGCGTTCACATTCACCAGAGCGGCAGTTTGCAGCTGCTGGGGATGATTACATCCCACAGAGAAGACAATCATCAGATAGGTTTCCTCGTGGTAATTATAGAAATAACAACTTCAGTTCTCGCCAATCCAACTATGCTGAAGAAGCTCCAGCAGTTCCAGTTGGTGAGAATGTCTACACCGAAGAGCTTGTGTTCCAGATTCTCTGCCCAGCTGACAAGATTGTTCGGGTTGTTGGGGAATCGCAAGGCATATTAGATTTGCTTCAAAATGAGATTGGCGTGGACGTGAGAGTATCTGACCCAGTTACTGGATCTGATGAACAGATAATCACCATTTCATCGGAAGAGGTACTCTAAATATCCTCAGATCTTCTTCAGTATTATCTGTTACATTTACAATTGTGAACTTGAAGTTTTGTATTCTTATTTTGTTTAGGCTCCTGATGATCCATTTTTCCCTGCTCAAGAAGCCTTGTTGCACATTCAAACTCAGATCATAGATCTTCTTCCGGATAAAGATAATTTAATAACAACGAGATTACTTGTCTCATCTAGAGACTCCGTATGTTTGGAAGGGAAAGCAGGATCAGTATCTGAGATATCACGATTAACTGGAACAAGCGTACAAATTCTAGCTAGGGAAGAAATTCCCCGATGTGCTTCTATCAATGATGTTGTTATACAGGTATGTTTGTCTATTTTTGAGGAGTTGGGCATTTTCTTAACAACTTCTGGTCTCAAAAGAGAATTCTTATGTGAATGTCTGATGTAGATTACTGGCGATATCAGAGCAGCTCGGGATGCACTTGTTGAATTAACGTTACTATTGAGGAGTCATATGTTCAAGGAGCTCTCTCAAAAGGAGACACCACCAGCTTCCACATCCACAACTGGCCCTCTTGAAGGTGTTGCAGGAGTAATGGAGGTAGCTTCATCAAATAACACAATTCAATCCCGTGAAGGTCTTACTGGTTCAAATCTGAAGTTGCAGCAAACTAGCACAATCTTGCCACAGTTTAAGGTTTTTAATCTCAACAACAATCTTTTCAATATAAAGGCATCTGTAATCAGTTAGGGTCAGACTTATTATTGACATCGAAACAATGTAATATTACTATCTGGCTATGCACAATGACCTGAATACTTGGAAAGTCGTCTATGGTTCTTGTCCATTCGTGCAATGTCCCTATATTTACATATATTTTTTTCTTGGGTTTTTATAGGAAGGCTTTGGATCAGTTGCAAAGGCGGGTGAAAGTGAACACCGGGAGGAGGTTCCTGTCACGACAAGCAGGTAGAGAAACTCCAAATTTATAATATTTTTTCCGGAACCGTAGACAAAAACATATTCCAAAACAACAAGTGCTCGTTTCACGCCTATCCTTCCTGTTTTTTGTTTTTTTCTCTAGAATGGCAGTGCCACTTGTTACTAGAAGCACTCTTGAAGTTGTCTTACCAGAGGCTGTTGTTCCTAAGCTCGTTACGAAATCAAGAAACAAGCTTGCACAAATCAGTGAGGTGAAACTCTTTTAACTGGAACTAGATTGGTGCAAATCATGACTTTAATCAAAATCTTTGACGGTTTGTCTTCTCTCTTTCCCACTTGATCACAGTGGTCTGGAGCTAGTGTAACCTTAGTTGAAGACCGACCAGAAGAAACACAGAATATCATTCGAATATCGGGTACACCCGAGCAAGCAGAGAGAGCACAGAGCTTGCTTCAAGGCTTCATATTGAGCAGTAAATTTCTCTCTTTCCAAACTTTATATCGTATATCTACTCTGACCTATAGGTCTGATTTCCGTTCCTTATTTGGTATAGTACAAGAAGATGGACCGTGAACTTGGACCAGATCACCGGTCAACACAGAGTAGAAGATCAAGAAACTGAGAAATGTGGAGTTATGTATGAATTGTTGAATATTAGGATTTAAGTGGGCAGTAGTAGTTTTAGATGAACATTCTACATTTTGACCATCACTCTTTGGTTTCTACTTTCTATGTTGTCTATTAGTCTTCTTTGTTTACATTGTTCTGTAACTTATAAAAGTTTAATCCGAAAGTAATCATTAAAGACTCGAATCTTTTTTGCATTCATCCGAAAGTACTGCAATAAGCAAGTTTTTGGAAGAATTTCACTTGAGTTAACGTCATTAAGATAGTCAGATAGGGGCTGTTTTTGCAAAAATAGAAAAAGTGTAGGGGTGAAAACATAATTAAATCTTAAAATCTTATTTTACAAAAATAGCCACTGCTAAAACCTCTACCTGCGGCTTCCCCTTTCTTCCAGTTCGTGAAAAAGGAGACGTCGCATCGCACCGCCGTCGTCGCGTTGCCGGTTCACTGGTGATTGATTCTTTCTTATCTTCCCTTTTGGTTTTCTCTATTCTCTCATATCCGTCGTATTTCTAGGGTTTTTCTCACTCCTTTTGTTGTGGAATCTCTCATTGTAATCTGTCTCAGAAAATATCGTTGAATCGAGAAAATGGCTTATGTTGGGCAAAGTAGAAACGTGATTCGTCATGTAGTTACAAGAGGAACAGCTTATCACAAGTCTGAAAATGCGATTCATCATCCTCTCCTTTTCGCTTGTCAAGGAGTTAGATACAGGAAATTGGAAGTTATTCTTACAACGGTGTGTTTTTGTGATTCTTGAAGAACTTTTAGATTTTGAATTGAAATAGATGTTGGGTTTGTTTTGATTTGTCTTGATCTTGATCTGATCTGGTTTTGTTAGGGTATAGAGAAGCTTGGCAAAGCCGGTGAGACGGTGAAGGTAGCTCCTGGATACTTCAGGAATCATCTTATGCCCAAACTTCTTGCTGTGCCTAACATTGACAAGTATGCTTATCTCATCCGAGAGCAACGCAAGGTTCACACTTTCTTCTTCTCTCACCTTTGTAAGTATGATATTTGGTAGTACAATGGCTAGTTGTGTTCTTCTCTTGTTGTTGTACTTAAGTAATCTTCTTTATGATGTATAGTTCTTGGTGTAAAGGGTAAAGCAGATACTTATGACATGCCCTCATAGTGTTATGTTACTAAAATTATATTGGTTTAGTGTTGGAGGCTTATCCCTGCATTTGATTTCTCTTGATGTTCAGATGTACAATCATGAAGAAGAAAAAGAGGAGGTTAAGGTTGTTCATAAAACTTCTGAAGTCCAGACAAAGGAGTATGAAAAGGCTGCAAAGCGCCTGGCGAATGCTAATTTGGTAAATTTAACTTGCCCTCTTAACTCTTACTATTCAGCATTCTTGTTCTTGTGGAATATTTAAAATGGTGTAAATATGGGATCTATTTGTTTGATTAACAGGTATTGAGGAAGTTAGTTGACAAGGAAAAGTTCAAAAACCGCTCCTCAAAAGATGACAAACCTGATGTTCAAACTCCTATCACAAAGGAAGAGATAGTCTCTGAGGTAAATTGTTCTTTCCTTCTAACGCTGTTAACTATGTGACAAGTAAGATCATGTAATCAATAGTTATTGTGTTGTCGGTTTATGAAGGTGGCGAGGCAGCTCTGTGTGAAGATTGATCCAGACAATGTGGTTTTACCGGCGCCTTTGGAAACTTTTGGCGAATACGAGGTGCCTCTGAAATTCCCCAAGACAATTCCTTTGCCACAAGGAACTGTTCAATGGATTCTCAAAATCAAAGTCCGTGGCCATTAAAATCTCCACCTTTGGAAGTCTTCCTTCAGTGATAGTTCTCTTCTCCAATCTGTTTTAATTTAGTCTTGGAATTGCAGAAACATTGTTAGCAAACACACATGAGTTCCCTTCACTCTGTTTCTTTTTAGTAGTTGTGTAAACCGGGTTTAGTCCGGTCTTAAAATTTAAACAGTGATTCGAATTTTTGAGCGAAAACCGGATTCGACCAGAAAAAGGATATTTATGCAATTATTTGAATCTCACTCGCTCTATTTTGCACAATTTAAAATATTTGGGCCTAAATTGTAAGATTCAGTTATTTCAGCCAAATTGATAGATTCCCGGTGGTCGGCGGAACCGCGGCCACGAGAACGAAGAGCTTTTCACACTACCTCCGATGGTGTTCTCTATCTCTCTCCTCTCTTCGACCACTTCGCTCACCACATGGTAAATGATTCATTTCTCCTTGTGTCTCCTCGCTTTGAACTTTTTAGCCTTTTAGTGAAAAGATTAGTCTTTTAATTTCCGAGTTTGGTATCAAATTACGGTAAAGTAGCTTAAGTTTGATCCAAGGGTGACTTGGTTTAGCTCAATATCTTTCTATAAAAATTGGGTATCCGAAAAAGTTTGGCTTTTGTGTCTTTGCTGAATTTGTGATTTTGGGCTTTCAGGGCGAATCAATTAAGCTCTCAGTCTGGTAGTGCACCGAGAGATTCGACATGGCAATATGGTGTTTGTTTCCGTAATCAGAAACGCAAAACTAAGCTCTACTTGATTCCCGCCCGCCATTTTTTATTGACTCCAATTGATTCAGTCACCTCCTCAGAAAGTGCTTCAGTTCATGCTACTTCTGGCGTTTCTGAAGTTCAAAGGTGAGATTTTGATTGATTGATGTTTTTTGTTTAACTTAGAAAAAGAAGAATTTAGATGAGAGTTTTGTCTGTTTATGCAGGTCTACTTCAAGCAACAATGTTCATGAGATGGAAGAGTTTGAGATGGAGTTGCAAGAGTTGTTCAATGAAGTCAAGGCTATGGTGAAGATTGGTAAGGAAAGAGATGCAGTGGACCTACTTCGAGCGAATTATGTTGCTGTGAAAGAAGAAATGGATTCCGGTTTGAAAGGTATCGAACAAGCTGCTGTACTTGACATCATTGCGTTGGGGTATATGGCTGTTGGAGACTTGAAACCTATCCCGGCATTGCTTGATATGGTGAGTCTAAGCCAGATATCTAGAAAAAAATCATTTCTTTAACTGGATTGTGTTGTATTTGTCTAAAACAGTAAGTTAACAAATGCAGATAAACAAGATTGTTGATAATTTAAAAGACTCCGAGCCTCTTTTGGATTCAGTACTTATGCATGTTGGCAGTATGTATTCGGCAATAGGGAAGTTTGAAAACTCTATACTCACGCATCAAAGGGCTGTTCGTATATTAGAGAATAGATACGGTAATGATCTTCTAAACCTGTTTTTTGTTTTTCTTGTGTCTTCTGTTTCCTTTTCGTTTGTCTTTAACCAACAGGACTTCTATGTGCTAGGTAAAGGCAATACTTTACTTGTCACACCATTACTTGGTTTGGCAAAGATTTTTGCTTCTGATGGAAAAGCCACTAAAGCGATTGGTGTTTATGAGCGTACGGTGACTATCTTGGAACGGAATAGAGGTTCTCAAAGTGAGGATCTAGTGATGCCGTTATTTTCCCTCGGTAAACTTCTGCTCAAAGAAGGTAAAGCTGCTGAAGCAGAAATTCATTTTACCAGGTACGGCGTGAAAAGGACTTGTCTGGTCAAAGTTTTTGCATTTTTTATTCGCATAGTATGTGATCCATTTCCATCTTCTTTCTTTCTGCTAGGATTGTAAATATATACAAGAAGATATACGGAGAGAAAGATGGAAGAGTTGGCATGGCCATGTGTTCCCTTGCTAATGCTAAGTGCTCAAAAGGTGGGTTCTAAACTTCCAATCTGTTTTGTTTTGGTAACTACGAGCTTTTGTTGAAGAGATGGTCTTGTATCTCTGGTTTTCTTAACAGGCGATGCAAATGAAGCCGTTGATATCTACAAGAACGCTCTACGAATAATCAAAGATTCAATGGCAATAGACAACAGTATCTTGGAAAACATGAGGACAGATCTTGCTGAGCTGCTTCATTTTGTTGGAAGGTAAAACTTTTTCCACTAATCTTCTTCCTTTGATTGAGGAACTCAATTAAGCCACTAACTTTCGCTTTGCACACAGGGGAGATGAAGGACGAGAGTTACTAGAAGAATGCCTATTAATAAACGAGAGATTCAAAGGGAAAAACCATCCTAGCATGGCTACACATCTTATAAACCTTGCAGCATCTTATTCGCGTTCCAAGAATTATGTGGAGGCAGAACGATTGCTAAGAACTTGTTTGAACATCATGGAGGAATCAGTCGGTTCAGAAGATCAGTCCATAACCTTTCCAATGCTAAATCTTGCAGTCACTCTTTCTCAGTTGAACCGTGATGAGGAAGCTGAGCAAGTAGCCTTAAAGGTTTTACGCATCCGTGAGAAGGCATTTGCCAAAGACTCTCTCCCTGTTGGTATAAGATCTCTCCATTCCAAAATCATCTATCTTTATGAAATTTCTTGTCATCTGAAGATAAAGTCAAAATCATCTATCTTTATGAAATTTCTTGTCATCTGAAGATAAAGTCTTTACTGATAAGCTGACTTGTATGGATAAAAGTTTCGAACATTGTTGATCCCAAGTGACGGTAAATATATATATATTCCCTATGCAGGAGAGGCTCTGGACTGTTTGGTGTCGATCCAAGCGAGATTAGGAAGAGACGATGGAGAAATACTGGGATTGCTGAAAAGGGTTATGATGATCCAAGAGGAAGAGTTTGGTTCTTCAGCTGAAGAACTCATTGTTACTCTCCAAAAGATTATTCATTTCTTGGAAAAATTGGAGATGAAAGATGAGAAATTTAAGTTTAGAAGAAGATTAGCTTTGCTTAGAGAGAAACACAAGCAGAGTCTTAGCTTCTAGAATATAGTTATCTTACTCTCTTTAATAAGCTAAGATTAAATTAATTGATCTATATGTCGTGTTTCTTGAGTTTTGTCTATTAAACATTATTGTGTTTTGCCAAATTCAATTTCTAATTGATGTTGTTAATTAATTACACAAAAAGTAACTGACAAATGATGCAAGAAGTCCGAGGTTTGAGGTGATTAAATTAATAAAATAATCAAATCTTTAATCACGCAAATACTGTTTTTGTCTTGTCCCTGAAACAGATCTCTCTCATCAATCATCTCAAGAAGGAAGAAGAAGATGAGCAGTGAAACATTGTCGTTGACGAAGAAGAAGAAGGAAGCTTTGGGATGGATAGAGTTGATCAGAGGATGGGGTTGTGTTTTCCACGAGTTTCTCTTCCAAAGATTCATGGCGTCTCATTTACAAAATCCACTTCCTCTTCCTTCTCTCAATCACCTCACCTGCATTGTCACTGGCTCCACTAGCGGCATTGGTCGCGAAACAGCTAGGTTTGAATTAAGGAATTGGGAACAAGAATAGCTGATTTTTGTTATGTGTAAAGGAATAAGAGACTTTGGCTTCTTGTTGTGTGAATTTGTAGGCAGCTTGCAGTAGCTGGTGCTCATGTTGTAATGGCGGTGAGGAATACAAAAGCAGCTCATGAGCTGATTCAACAATGGCAGAAGGACTGGTCTGGTAAAGGCCTTCCTCTTAATCTCGAGGTAAATCTTATATGATCATCACATAGTATGACATCTCTATTTAGCATGTGTTTGCTTGGGACTAAAGCCTAGTCAACAATGAATGTGTAATTCAGAAACTGTGAATGGGAAGTAACTGTTTGTGATCCAATTAGATAAGATTGATAGATTTTTCGGATTTTAACTATATAGTGAATGCTGATGATGAGATATACTTAATTATGTTTCTTTGACTCAAGGCTATGGAACTTGATCTTCTTTCTCTGGGTTCCGTCGTCGAATTTTGCAATGTGTGGAACGCGCGATTATCCCCTTTGCATGTTCTGATCAACAATGCCGGCATATTTTCCATGGGAGGTTCGTTTTATTGCATTTTAGCTCTGGAAAATTTGAGCTTTTTCACCTTTATTGGCGAGCTTAGTGTTCTGCACTTCAATAATCTGGTGGTATAGTATCTTTCATATTATGACTTGTGAAATTTTGCATCTATAATTAGTAGTTCTTTCGGTGGTTTCCTTGTTCATGTTCATTTCACTATCTCAAGTGTTTGTTTTACATTCAATGAGATTTAGATTGCTGCAGCACATGTTGACGAAAACCAAGTAAGTTACTTCTCACTTTGATTTGTGCAGAGGAACAGAAGTTCTCAAAGGATGAATATGAGCAGCACATGCAAGTGAACCATTTAGCTCCAGCGCTGCTTTCACTACTCCTTTTGCCCTCGCTTATACGAGGCACCCCAAGCCGGATCATTAATGTGAATTCTGTTGTAAGTATCATCATCGCTGAAACTGCCAGCTGCATAACTTTGTCATCTAGTTTTGTAGTGATGTTGAAAAGTTTGGATTTTCTTGGTATACGTTCTAAACAAACTGAAACTTTGAACTTTGTATATACAGGGTTACTTCATTGCTTTTCTCTCTGTGAAATTCTTCTTTGATTGAATCTAAATAAGAATAACAACGTTCTGTTTATCGTCTGAGGTTATCCCCATCTCATGCAAGATCATTGTTTGTTGGGTTTACTCTTTTGGTAGATGCACTATGTTGGTTTTGTTGACCCGGATGATATGAATGTTGTTTCTGGGAAACGAAAGTTTACAAGCCTCGTTGGATATTCTGGCAGCAAGCTTGCACAGGTGAGAACTTACACAAAACAGCATTCAATACTTTTTCTCTTTTGATCTCAGAAACTAATGGATTTACTTCCCTTCAATTTTATCCGGTCAGGTTATGTTTAGCAATGTTCTCTTGAAAAGGCTGCCACTAGAAACTCGCATTAGTGTTGTTTGTTTATCCCCCGGGATTGTCCTAACAAATGTTGTGAGTATTATTACTTTAAGTCTCACTTCATTGCTTGTTCCTCATAACTTCTATCGCATTAAACTGTTTTGAACATCCAATTATGCAGGCGAGGGATCTACCAAGATATGTTCAAGTTCAATACGCGTTGATACCTTATTTCATCTTTTCGCCTCAAGAAGGTTGTAGAAGCACACTTTTCTCAGCGACAGACTCTCAGATTCCAGAGCATTGTGAAAAGCTAAAAACCGGCGATAAGCCCATTTGTACATTCATATCTCAAGATTGCAAGCACACAAAGCCTTCAGAAGAAGCACACAACGTAGAAACAGCGACCAGAGTTTGGGAAAAGACGATAGAGATGATCGGTCTTCCTCTTGATGCATTGGAGAGGCTTATAGAAGGAGAAGAGGTCCAATGTCGGTATGGGACTCATCAACAATAAGTGTTTCTCACAAGTCTTTTACAAGTCTCTCTCTTCTTTCCTCCAATTTGTACTTGCTAGAAGATTCTAGAATTTGACCTTAAAGCTGCATTACACTACACTACACACATTCTAAACGATGAAGGATGAGATCTAAGGGAAACTTATTGACACTAAAAAAAAACCCACGTTTTTGTTTATAATTTGTAAGAAATCTTGGATAAAAGAAATTAAAATACGTTTCAACTACTCAACGCAAACACAAATATATAAAAGAATTGGTATGAATTATGTTATATTTAAGACATCTTAATTTTTTGTTCTTTGAAACTTTAGTTTGAAACTTTAGAAAAACATCATAGAAATTAATGCATACTTGCAAATACAACCAATCTTTTTTTTTTTTGCTAAATAAATACAACCAATCTTACGTTTTTTAAAACACATATAGGTTGAGTAGTTGATAAAACAACAAATAAATAAATAATTTCTATAACGTGACAATAGAGTGGAAACTAAGTTACTAAGTTACTAAATTTTCAAAATTTCTAACTATGAATTTTCAAACACACATAATTATATGAAAAAGGCGGGTTCTCATTAAGATAATTAATACTCCCTCCGTTTCAAAATATAAGGCGTTTTGGAGAAACTTTTTTGTTTCAAAATATAAGTCGTTTTCAAGTTTCTATGCAAATTATATATTATTTTAATATTTTCTGATTATTTTTATTATGCAGTTTTTTTTATGATTGGTTAAACTTTTAAAAAGTAGATCTTCTTAATTTGCGTGCTTTTAGCTAAAACGCCTTATATTTTGAAACGGGGGGAGTAGTAACTAGTTAATTAATTAATGACCAACTAATTATATTGTTGTAACGGTTGGAACGAAGTACGTATACCACCAAGTCCGAGGCGTCAGAGGCTTTAACTAATCCAAAAATGTTTATCATGTTCCTAGCTAGATTTTGACGCATTATTAATTATCAAATATTTAACCCTTTTTGTCTTTCTCTATATGTGTTGTGAACTCTGGAGAGAAGAAGAAGAGTAGTGAAACGGTGTCGTTGAAGAAGATGAAGAAGAATGATGGTTTAGGGTGGATTCAGTGGATTAGAGGATGGGTTAATGTTGTGCTAGAGATTATATTCTTTTGCAGAGAATGATGGCTTCTCACTTACAAACTCCATTTCATCTTCCTCCTTTGAACCACTTAACTTGCATTGTCACTGGCTCCACTAGTGGCATTGGCTCCGAGACTGCTAGGTCCCAAATCGCAAACAAAAACTTTTCTTTAGCTTCTCATCATGATGTTGTTTTTGATTGTATAATTGTTGCATGTGATTGTCCTGTGAATCTTATAATGTATAATATGTTGTGTGAATTTTATAGGCAGCTTGCAGAGGCTGGTGCTCATGTTGTTATGGCGGTGAGGAACATAAAAGCAGCTCATGAGCTGATTCAACAATGGCAGACCAAGTGGTATGCTAGTGGTGAGGGATTCCCACTTAATATTCAGGTAAAATTTTTGATTAATTTTTATAGTACATTTGATCATGGCCGCTTTCAATTATTTCAAAAATCTAGTGAAAAATTTAAATTAAATTTATGCTTTTAATGAAATTAAAGATCCAATCTCTATTATTATTAAAAATATTAAATAATTTTATAGTATATAAGATCTTGTGGATTCACCACTTTTCTTTAATACATGTTCTCTCCGATTCACGAAAATGTCGGTTTAGAGTAATTTTTCGTTTTGTAACTTTGGTGTTTTAATTTTTTGATAAGAAAATATTCAAGTGATCCATCAAATATATTAAAAATATTAAATAAAAAATAATATGAAGAGAACTTTTGTTTTGTTTCAACTTCTTTTTAATTTTTTCTGGAAAGTAGATCCACTAATGGATAGAGTTGTATAGGTCATGAAATTCTATTTAGCATGTGTAGCTTGGAGTAACTAAATATAGCTAGTCAAGAATTAGATTTCATTTCAGAGCAAGATTCATGTGCATTAACGTTGTAGAGAAAATGCATGTTATAACTTATTAGAACTACTATTAGTGATTCCTCTCTAATGTTTTTAAATGTTAAGATTGATCCCTCTCTAATTGATTGGATAAAAGACAATAAGTTTTACGATATCTTACACAGAGATCCGAATTGTTAAAAGTGATACTATGTTTGTTTGTTTTTTTCAAGGCGATGGAACTTGACCTTCTCTCTTTAGATTCCGTCGTCAGATTTAGCAATGCTTGGAACGCACGGTTAACCCCTTTGCATGTTCTGATTAACAATGCCGGCATGTTTGCTATGGGAGGTTAGTTTCTATTTTATTTACATGCATTTTAAAGCTATAACCATCGAGACCTTTTTGACAAAGAAGGAAAAAGAAACAGCAAAATTGGTTGGCATGTTGATTTTTGCAGGGGCACAAAATTTCTCAGAAGATGGATATGAACAACACATGCAAGTGAACCATTTAGCTCCAGCTCTGCTTTCACTACTCCTTTTGCCTTCGCTTATCCGAGCTTCCCGGAGTCGAATCATTAATGTTAATTCTGTTGTAAGTTTCATCAATATCATCAAATCAAAAAATTCATTGATTATCTCTATATATAATACTATGCATTGTTTTGGTTTTCGTTTATGTAGATGCATTATGTTGGTTTTGTTGATCCAAATGATATGAATGTTATTTCTGGTAAACGAAAGTTTTCAAGCTTGAGAGGATATTCTAGTAGCAAACTCGCTCAGGTAAACTTAAGGGTGAAAAAATATCTTTATCGATAAATTTGAAAATGTTTCTATAATCTAAAACGTTTTCTTGTTTTTTTGTTTGATTTGTCAGGTTATGTTTAACAATGTTCTTTTCAAAAAACTGCCTTTGGAAACCGGCATTAGCGTCGTTTGTTTATCTCCTGGTGCTGTCCAAACTAACGTTGTAAGTACGAGTATACTAACTTTTTAGTTGTGTGTAATTTGCAAAAAAAAACAATTATGAACATTTTTGACATGTCTTAAATTTCTTCAGACTAGAGATCTTCCAAGAGTGATCCAAGATCTTTACTCTGCCCTGCCATATTTCATCTTTTCGCCACAAGAAGGTTGTAGAAGCTCGATTTTCTCGGCGACAAATCCTCAGATTCCACAGCATTACCAAAAGCTAAGAACGAATGAGAAATCAGTTTGCACATTATTCGTATCTCAAAATTGCAAACCAACAAATTGTTCTGAAGAAGCTCACAACATAAAAACAGCGAACAGAGTTTGGGAAAAGACAGTAGAGTTGATTGGTCTTCCTTCTGATACAGTGGAAAGGCTTGTGGACGGAGAAGATGTCCAATGTCGTTATGGAACTCATTAATTAAGAGTAAATGTGTCGTTAATTAATCTGTGATTTGACTTTTCTTTCAATGCGAATGCTTTCTTATGATTCAATCGTAAACATTAAAAATTTTACGAACCCTCTTGCTGAGTATGAAGAAGATTAGGACTATAATATGGGCTTAGTCCAGGCCTGAACTAAAATTTAAGGCCCTAATCGTTTGTTCTTAATTAAGAAAGAACAGTTATATGACTTGTGTCGCAAACCAGAATAACAAAAGTAGAAAAAAAAACGGAGACTAATCTCAATTGCTCATCAGAGTCAAAGAATTAATCTATATACTCTCCTCCTTTTAATGAAAGGACGAAACTACCCATTTACTAGGTATACGTGGTACAACTGGTATCCTAGTTGTACCCTCTTAGTTGTACCAGACCTTAGTTGTACCACCTAGTTGTACCACCTAGTTGTACCTCCTCCTAGTTGTACCACCTAGTTGTACCAGACCTTAGTTGTACCACCTAGTTGTGCCACAACTTAGTTGTACCCGAATATTCCCGAATATTCCCTAGTTGTACCAGTTACAACCCGAATAAAAGGATTCAAACCCTGGGGACCACAACTTAGTTGTACCCGAATATTCCCTAGTTGTACCAGTTACAACCCGAATAAAAGGATTCAAACCTTGGGGGCGCGCGCGTGCGCATGGAGCTCGCAACCACTGAGCTATTGTGTTTTTCGTTGAACATTTACCGATTTAATTGTATTTAACCTTTAGGAGCCCCTGAGAATTTGTTCCAAAAACAACCGTGTTCATAACTAAATCCCTAAAAAGATCTGAAAAATATATTTTGATGGTCGGAACCCTAGAAGTCGCTTTTGACAACTTTAATGATACAGAAAACTCAACAATCTCACAAATGAAATCGAACGATAGATTGAATCAATGTTCATAAAACACGGATCCACTTCTCAAATTGCTAGAGCATAGAAGAAGAAACAGCTCAAGTTACAATGAGGAAATAGCCATGAGAATCCTCAGAGAATTCTCAGAGAAACAGAGAACAAAGAAGAAGAAGAAGATACAATTTCAGAATTTTTTGCATAATGATCCCAAATCCGATTTGCTTCTCTTTTACACGATTCTCCTCTGCACTTGATCTCCACCGTTGAGCCCAAGTTCTAATCTCCACCCTCCACGTGTCAATCATTTCTTAACCCTCCTTTTACTATATCAAATCTTCCCCTTCCAAGAAACCTTGACCACAAGGTTTGTAGAGAAGGTGTCTGATTTGCAAGGGCACATATGTTGTCCCTAAATGAACCTCCATCGAAAAAGAATGCAGAAATTGTACTCTCTTTAGTGGAGCTCTATACTTGAACATCCAAGACTTAGGACATTTCTTTTGTTTTTTCTTACCCTGCAATCTTCTAGAGAGACCAGTTGAATGCTGAAACGACACGTTCACAACAACACCATCGAAAAAATGTAGCTCTTTCTCATGGTGATCAAACCCTATGTTATTGCCACAATTGAAGACATAGAAAATCTGATTGTGTTGTTGCTGTATATCCTCTTTTTCAGTTTTGAACTTAAACTTCCAACCCTTCAAAAAAATTTCCTTTGGCTTCTTTTGTTGTACCATTGCCATTGTAGGCCATTTATCAAAACATTGTTGTGCACAATGTTTGGTTTTCACACTTGTTGACTGCTCACAAATCAATTCTTGTTGCTGCAACAAGCTCTCCACTTCCACAGAAATCTTTTGCTGAATTTTGCACTTGAAAGTTAAGATTCCTTATCCTCATGTGAGGAATTTTGCACTTGAAAGTTACTCAAAGAAGGTCTTGCAGCATCACTTTGAACATTCAACCTTTTCCAATGATTTTGAGCTTTCTCATATAATCGGCCCAGCATTAAGCATTGTTCAATAGACTGAGGTTGAAACATCTTGACATTTATCTGCATATCTGTTCTCAACCCTGCTAAGAAAATACTAACCAAATATGCTTCAGGTAGATTCAAACGAGACTTTATCAGCTCAAATTTTTCATGATAATCCACAATTCCATCAGTTTCCTGCAACTGTTTCAATTCGGCAATTGGATCATCCACCATTTCATTAAATCTCCCTTGCAACAGCAGTTTGTAAGACACCCAATCGTGCCTAACATGCTCCCACAGAACTGATTGCAAAATCCACTGATGCCAAGTCGCAGCAAGATCATCAAATAGGCCAGATGCTAAACCAATTTTCAATTCATCGGGTGTTCGATCAACCAAGAAAAATTGTTCAATCTTAAAGAGCCATTCCTTTACTCTATCGCCACCAAATCGAGGACAATCTAACTTCGCCAACCTTGTAACTCCCACGTAAGAATTAGAGATACCTGAACGATGTCCATGTGCTGGATCTGATGGAGAATTGGCAGGTGCTGGTGATACACAAGACGAATTGCGAAGATCTTGTACATGAGACGAATATCCCTTGTTCGTCAACAGATTCATAGCCTCGAGCATATCCGAAATATATCTATCGATCTTCTGATTTCGTTCCTTCACCAAATCTTCTAACGCTTGAATCCTCGATCCAATCGTTTCTTCCGTAAGCACCGCTTGCGATCGAGTCTCCGCCATGGTTTCACGAACCACCGTTTCTGTGAATAACATCTGAGATCGTGTCTCCGCCATTGATACGAATCCGAGGATGACACAGCTCTGATACCTTTGATACAGAAAAATCAACAATCTCACAAATGAAATCGAACGATAGATTGAATCGATGTTCATAAAACACGGATCCACTTCTCAAATTGCTAGAGCATAGAAGAAGAAACAGCTCAAGCTACAATGAGGAAATAGCCATGACAATCCTCAGAGAATTCTCAGAGAAACAGAGAACAAAGAAGAAGAAGAAGATAACAAACTCAACACAAATCTCATAATGATCCTAAATCTGTTTTTGCTTCCTTTTAAGGCATCTTTCTTCACAGTCTTGAGCTCCAAATGATCTCCACCGTTGAGCCAAACTTCTAATCTCCACCTTACACGTGTCTATTACTCCTTTCTCTTTTCCTATATCATTTACCCGAAAAAACCGCCATTTATTTTTTTTTTGGCCGTTTAATACGTGTGTTTTTAAACTTGGAATAAAAATACCTCATTTAATTTCGATTGCCTTTTAAAACTATCGTTTTTTAAAACTTGGTAATTTCGAACCCGAGACTTAACAGTCGTTACTGGGCTTAACGGAATTATCTAACAGCGTTAAATTTTAACTCCACGTGTTCATATAAATATATACCATCTGTTTGCAATATTTCCAGTGTTCGTTAATGTGGCCTGGTGGTTGCGCGCTGGTTTTGCAAACCTTAGCTGCTGGGTTCGACTCTTCAACCTCTTATTTTATTTTATTTTTATTTTTTATTTTTGTTCTTCGTCTTCTTCACCGGTCCTCGTGAACTATTTTCTGCGAATTTCTCGAGTTTTAAGCTGGATCCATTGTCGAATCGTGTCAAGGAATCTGAGCTTTGTGCTTTTTATCTTCTGAGACAACAACATCTTTCGCTTCTCTCTCTTTGGAATGGTACGTTGGTGAATCCTTCTCTTAATCAATCGGAGAATGCTTTGGGATCATTTGTGTTGTTTGAAGATGTGAAATCTGCTGTTTCGAAGCAGATTTCATTGAATAAAGAGATCCAAGAGGTGTCCGATGATGCAAAGGAGAGAGATTTGTAATTTGATTTCCAATTTTCAATATCAAAAATCTCTCATTTTTTTCAGATTGAAAGTTGTTTTCCGAATTGTTCATGGGTTATCACAATACCCACAAGATCATGATTTTGTTTTCAAATCCGATGTGATTCTTAGAAATGATTTTTTGATTCTTTGGACATTGGAGATCTGAGAAGAAGAAGTGAAGAACAAAAAAAAAAAAAAAAACAGGTTCACGACTCGAACCCAGGTCGGGTGGTTTTTCAAAAGAGACCCGCTACCACCAGGCCACATTAAGTATAGCTATAAGTATTGCAAACAGATGGTATATATTTATATAAACACACAGGATTAAATTTTAACACTGTTAAATAATTCCGTTACGTCCAGTAACGACTGTTAAGTCTCGGGTTCGAAATTACCGAGTTTTAAAAAACGATAGTTTTAAAAGGCAATCGAAATTAAATGAGGTATTTTTATTCCAAGTTTAAAAACACACGTATTAAACGGCCAAAAAAAAAATAGATGGCGGTTTTTTCGGGTTTTTTCCCTCCAACAAAGTAATTTTCTTCTCCTTAATTATGGATTTCTTCTTACGCACTCTTTGCTTCTCTATTAATGGAAAAATATTTGTAGTAGTAGAATTTCTGATTAGATCTTTTGTACCTTAAGGGTCAGGAATCGCTGGAAACAAACGATCGTGAACGGTAATTTCATTTTCTTGTTTTGTTTTTTGGGAACTAGAATTTGTCATGTTGATAATATGAATTATCTCCTGCAATCAAATTTGTAGGGGATAGCACAATTTCCGTTGAAGGATATGACTCTTCGGTTCATGAGTATCCTCTCGAGCTCGCGTTGAGAAAGCATTTCGCTTCATGCGGAAAGATCCAATGTTTTCATATCTTCAAAGACTTTAAACGGGTTTTTCTCAAGAGGTTTTTTTTGTAGCTTCTTCCTTCCAATTTTCACTCATGTTGTAACAATTCAACACTCAAATACAACTTTTCTTTGTTAGGAGAAGACAAAACCTTTGTTTGTATTTTTTTTTATTACTTACGGTTTTTCTTGTGTTTGTCCGCATGTTAAAAGTAATTAAGCTCAATACTCATCATCTGCCTTTGGTGCTTTACCTACTTTCCTCTTGGTTGATCGTGGAGGTACATAAATCTTTTCCTCAATTTCACAACCGGAGTCGTTTGATTCTCTACTAAGGTTTATGCAAAATATTATACACCGTCTTGCTCTAGCATTGCTGCTTGTACCTTTTTCGATATCCTATTGATTTTCAAGTAGCAATTTGTTTGATTGATGAGTCACTTACTTGTAACAGAAGATAATGCTTAGAAACAGATTCATGCAGATATTCACAAATCATATAAACACATGTATGATGTATCCATGTATCCATTATACACTGAATCTAATCTATGTATACAAAAAGGTATGAGCTCTGTTTCGCGGGAGAGACGACTATCAAAGCAATTCAAGCCTCACAACAACAATCATCACATGAAGCTATAGAGACATATATAACAATAATAACAAGTCACACATAACCATCTGATAAAAAAGTGTATTAGAATATGAGTAGAATTGGTTTACTTTGGTTATTGTATCTGGTTTAGTTTCTTTAGTATATAAGCTTAACCATGTACACATTTTACGATTGAGGAAGTAATAACAGAAATATCTTATCTTCTTCTCCCTCCTTCGCTCTCTCCTTCCATGGAGATTCTCGATTACTAACAAAGTGACAAAACAGATTCAAAAAAAGAGTTTAATCCATGTTTTCCGTTGGACACACTGTTTAAAACCTCTGCTACAGAAGCTTATGCGATTTCCACTCCCAACAAATCAAATTGAGGCTAACAATCAATCTGACATCTATTCGGAAATTCAAAAACATAAGCAAAAACACACACAAAAATATCGTAATTTCATGGCCATTTAATGGGCTTAGATCAGGCCTAAACTAAATTAAGGCCAAATCGTTTGTTTTTAGTTATCTACCCGGACCAGCATAATTAACAAAAACTACAAATACCTTTTTCCTAGTTGACGACAACCAAAACAAAAAAAAACAAAAACCCTTGTTCATACCTAAATTGAAAAATATCTTTCGAGGGTCGGGAACTCTTGAAGTCGCTCTTCTAAACTTTATAACCATGGAAGAATCCTCCGTCAAAGTAATCTTCTTCTCCTTAATTATAGATTTCTTCTTACTCATTCTTTGCATCTCTATTAATCGTTTCTTTCTTCACAAGAAAGAAAAAAAAAATTATAGTAGAATTTCTAATTAGATCTTTTGTACCCTAGGTTCAGGAATCGCTGGAACTGAACTGTAGAAAAAGGTAAATTCATTTTTTTCTTCTTCTTTTCCTTTTCGTTTTTGTGGGAACTAGATTTTGTCATATGTTAATGATATTTTCTCATACAATCAAATTGTAGCATTAGCACGATTTCCGTTGAAGGATATGACACTTCGCTTCATGGATATCCTCTCAAGCTCGCGTTGAGAAAGCACTTCGCTTCATGCGGAAAAATCGCAAGTATGTTTGTTCCAAGAGACTTTAAAAGGGGTATCCTCAAGAGCCCTCTCTTCATTGATTTTTGGGGAGAAGGTGCGAGAGACAAGGCATTGGAACTTAGTGGAAGTGACGTGGGACGATGGAATGTAGTCGTTAAGGCTGTACCCCGGCAGGAAGATTACTATGATCCTGCGGGATTCAACTTCTTCAGGGGAGAACGCGAGTAAGTTGGTTAGTATTTTTATCTACTGCAACTTAAATTCTTAGGATGCTATATAATATTCTTTTATAGGTTGGTGGTTAAGGTATATGATTTACCTTCTTCGGTGCGTAAGATTGATGTCCAAATCGGGCTCTGTAAACATTTCTCTTCGTGTGGAGAGGTCACCTGTGTTACTGTTTTAGTCCACGGAATCTTTGTTCACCAAAGGTTTGTGGCTTCTGAAAGTGCAGATCTTGCTGGAACAAGAACTCAAGTTATTAAATTCTAACTAGAGACTTGAATTTTGCAGAAATACTATAATTTCTATTATGGGAGAAGGATGTGTAGAGAAGGCGCAGCAACTAAGTGGACAATGTAACACAGATGGATGGAATATTGTAGTTGATTCTGTTGTCCCGCTAAGTGCCGATAAAAGAAAGCCTACCGGCTGTGAACATCCATGTACGTAAATATGCTCTTGCTTCTTGATTTTTTTTTTTTTTTTTTTGCCGGCAACTCTTATAACTTCTTATTAATTTCATTGTTTATACTTTAAATAGCTATTGTACTTGAGAGGATTAAGAAAGCTAAGATGGAGAAGGAGAGGAAGATGAAGAACAAAACTTCGGAGTAGAAGGCTCTCCTTAATTAGGAGAAGACGAAGCTCTTTGGTGTTTTTTAAAACGGATTTTCTGAAGCTTAGCTAGAAGCGTTAGGAATACAAATTTTTCTATCATGTGAAGATATGATAGTAAGACGAATAGAGTACATATCTAAATTTTACTCTTTTTCAACCTAATTAATTTTACTCTTTTTCAACCTATTTTTTTTTATTTTTTTTATTTTGATAAACCCTATCGGCTATCCGGTCGGCTTTGGTATGAATGCACCGAGGTGCTACATAGTGGACTGGTCCACCGTGTTAACGGTTAGGCCCTTACGGGCTACCACTCTGCCTATCCCGAATTTGGAATGCCTTCCGACTAAGTGCCGGGGGTAGTCAGGCCGCCTGCATTTCTGGCTACCAGGTAAACCAATTGGGCCAAGGCCCAACTGACAGACTTCCCAAACAAATGTGTTTTTGTTTCCAGGGAGAATCGAACTCAGGTTTGGGAAAATTGTTAGGGTCAACTTTTTATAGTGACTGACCCCACCCTACAACAGGATTTTATTTGGAGAAGTTTCAGTTTCACCCCGCCGACAGAAAGTCGAACTCGTGACCTCTGGCAGTCGTGTGTGAGAAGTCACATTGAAACCACTAGGCCATCAAGGACTTCTCTATTTTTTTTTTTTTTTTGTCATCTGTAATTAAATAGTGCTCAAAAGAGCCATTTTTGTGGAATGTTGTTTACATAAGTGATATGAAGCGGTTCCGTACGAATTTTTCGTGCCAGATTATCCGCTTTTGCATTTGCACAACGAGAAATTAAAGATAAAGAGAAGGTAGAGAACTCTTTCTTGTCGCTCTGAAATTCCTCCAGATACACTGAGAAGGCCGGCCATTCGGTTGGGGAAGACACCATCTTCACCAGGTCAGAACAGTCTGTAAGGAATGCTACCTCTTGATTATCTGCACCAATCATACACTTCATCGCCCAAAGGAGGGCCTCGAATTCGGCATGTAGCGAAGATAGGCTTCTACGGAGGTTGGCAGCTCCCATTGTTGATGGCTCACCGTTTGATGGTGTACAAAACCACCCTATCCCGGAAAACTTATCGCTGTCTTTCCAGGATCCATCCACAAAACAACGGTATCCTGTAAAATCCGAATCTAGGGACACCCCCCTCGTTTGAGGCCGATTTGGAAATTCCACTGAAGCCTGAGTTTCAGTATGAAGCTCCACTTGAGCTGAGTGCCACAATTGTGCCTCTCTTTCCGCTAACCGTAAAACCTCTAACGGATCGTTATCCACATTTTCAAACAATTTTTCATTCCGTGCTTTCCAAATATACCAAATAATCCAAGGAAAAGCTATAGAATCAAACTCCGATGGTATTCTCCAAAATAAATGATCCAAGTTTGCAAAAATAGAATCTGTGGGAAAAGTCCCCATAACCGTAGGAATCTGAGAAAGTGCCCAAACCTGTCTTGCAGGATGGCACTGAAAGAGTGTGTGATTGACTGTTTCCTCCAGTGCACCACATCTGGCACAACCAGTGTCACAATCAATTCCTCTTTTTCGTAAGTTCTCTGTAACCGGTACACAACCCGTTAAGATTTGCCATAAAAAATGATGTATCCTAGGTGGACACTGTACTTTCCAAGTATGAGCCTTTAGCTTATTGAAATCTGGCCCAATGAAAGATGAGTTGGTTTCCAACTTATCCAACCGTGCGGTATGATACCCCGACTTAACTGAATATTTGCCGGATTTTGTAAAATGCCAACCCAAGGTGTCATCCTTGGTTGGCGCACCCACCGGTAGGGCACTTATTAACTCGACATCTTCCTGGTCAAAGACCGCTTTGAGGAGATCAATGTCCCAAAAATTAGATCGACTATCTATAAGCATGTTAACTTTTAAAGATGGGTCATTAATAGAACCATTACTTTTTGCTGGTCTCGGGAATTGAGCTGGAATCCATGGATCCTCCCAAACTGAGATGGAATTCCCAGATCCGACTCTTTTAATAAGTCCTTTATTAACCAGAGATCTAGCTGAGCATATACTCCGCCACCCATACGATGGGGAATATGACTTTATATTTTCCAAAGGATTGGATTTCCTATAATATCGCCCTTTAAAAACCCTCGCAAAGAGAGAATCCGGAACCGTGATCAACCGCCACAACTGTTTTGCAAGTAAGGCCGAATTAAAATCATCGACGTTTCGAAATCCTATCCCTCCTTCCGATTTATTAATACATAATTTATCCCAAGCCATCCAATGCATACCTCTGGAGGCACCATTCGAGCTCCACCAGAAATTAGCAACCGCACTAGTGAGTTTAGAAGTGATTGTTTTCGGTAGTCTGAAGCACGACATAACATAAGTTGGTAATGCCGCAGCTACCGATTTAATCATCACTTCTTTCCCACCTTTTGATAAAAATTTTGCCGACCATCCGTTAATCCTTGTCTGTAACCTGTCTCTAACAAAAGAGAAAATTTTTGTTTTTGAACCACCGAGACTTTCTGGCAACCCAAGATATGAACCCATACCACCAATATTAGAGATACCTAAGGTAGATTTGATATCTTCCTTCACACCGTCATCTACCTTATGCCCAAACTGGATCGAAGATTTGGAATAATTTATTTGTTGTCCCGAGACCGCTTCATATTGCTTTAAGATCCCCAAGATTACCCCACACTGATCCTTGTTAGCCTTACAAAAAAATAGACTATCATCCGCAAAAAGCAGGTGAGAAACCGATGGGCTTGCAGTTGCCACCTTGATACCCGTAATTAATTTATCCCGTTCTGCTTTCCGTATGTTCGCAATTAATACTTCAGTACAAAGAATAAATAGATAAGGAGACAGCGGATCTCCTTGCCGTAAACCCCTCTCTGGTACTATTAGTCCTCGAGG